GTGTGGAGTTTCCTGTAGTCCAGGCTGGCCTCAAACTTACTATATAGCTAAGGATATCTCTGAACTTCTGATTCTCTTGCCTCCACCTGACATCTCCTGATTTCTACAAAAGAGAGTGGAAAAGCTTACTAGCTCTCTTTTATAAGGCATCAGTACCATCACACAGGCTCTCCACTCATAACCTAACCACTCTCCCCCAAACCGTGGCCTCTCATAGGCTGGAAGGATGGCTCATGGACAGAGGGCTTGTCTAGCAAGTTCAAGGCCTCAGGTTTGGTTCCCAGCACTGCAAACAAGCATTACCTCTCCTAATATAATGAAATCATGGCAGGATTTTAAGACGTAAATTGGGGGGCTTCTAAAAATCCATCCTATGGAATCCTGCAGCTTTGACCTGCACCCCACTAACTTTTCCCTGGTTTTCAGGCACTCATGAGCTCCCAGCATCTTCTGCAACTGCCTTATTCATCATGCTTATTGTTGGTGATCTGCAGCAAGATGCAAGCTGCATTGAAATGTAGCCGTGAAGCCCTTTTATGCACTGATTATCATGAGTGCTTAGAAATGTACCTTGCCACTGGTAAGTATGTTGTCTTCGTGTGTATGTGTGTACATGTATATGTTGTATATGTGTGTGGGTACATGTTAAATGAAAGAACGATTGAGGAACAAATCAGTGAAAATATATACATCCAAGCTCTTGGTTCTCGAAAATCACAGCCATCTCCATGGGAAAAGCAATTGGCTAGGAGGAGAACGAGCAAGCCCAACCCAATTCCAAAGTCTACCGCAACCTCCAGACAAACCATAACGTGCAAAGGTTTGCTGCTTTCCTCAAATGCCTACTTAAGATCACCTGAAGATGTTTAGGAAAAACATAGGGACACACACATACCACACACACATATAATTATCATAGACAATATGCACACATAATACCTAATATATGCACATACACACACAGATAAAGTATTACATATGCATATGCTGCATGGTATAATGTATTGTGTATAATACATAGCTATATTAATTAGCATACAAATATTAGGTTTCATTGTGACATTTTCCAACACAATTTGTTTAGTTGCTCTTCTTCCCTCTCCTTTCCTCCATATCCACCCACTCCTTGCCTCCTCTCACCCAGCATAGACTGGTGAGACTCTCAGTTTTCGCATCAGTCGCATGTGCTCTACTCCCCTCTCCCCCGCCCCCCCACCATACCCTGCTTCCTCAACACCTCTTTCAGCTTCATTGGAGCCCAGCAAGAGAATGACAGTGAAATTTCCTTCTAGCTGCAAAAGAAAATTAATATAAAAGAATGATGAAGTATGTTTCTAAAATGTAAATTTTATGTCTATGAATTATATATCAATTTGAAAAAGGATTGTTTCAACGATAATCAGTCCAATGCCTGGCATGCAATATGTGTTCAATAAATGGCAGCTGTTTTTAAGAGATAAAAATAAAGTCTAGGGTTTAGGAAAAGAATGAAAATGAGTTAAGTCTGCTAGATTACCCCTCTCCTTTCCTCAATGGACAGTCTGTAAAAAATTGCCCAAATCCAAGAAAATCAACAGCCTGATCTATTCCCTTAGAAAAGGAGCTACATTTTTTTTTTTTTTTGGTTTTTTGAGACAGGGTTTCTCTGTGTAGCTTTGGTGCCTGTCCTAGAACTCACTCTGTAGCCCAGGCTGGCCTCGAACTCACAGAGATCCGCCTGCCTCTGCCTCCCGAGTGCTGGGATTAAAGGCGTGCACCACCACCGCCTGGAGGAGCTACATTTTTACACTTAATTGGCACTATAGCCCTGACCACAGACTGCATAAAGTTGCTAGCTCTGCTCCTGTATTGTATGTAACACTTTCAGCAAAGGAACATGGGTGTGCATATGTCTCTTGGACACAATGACGTCATTTCTTGCAGCTACACACAGAACTGAACTGTTGGATGATACCGCCATAGGCTTTCCACGGCCAGCCCCGCCAGCAGCGTGCAAGCATTCCCCATACTCCACATCCTCACCGATACTGTCAAAGTTTGCCAGTTAGACCTTGGTAGAACTGGCAGAGGGAGTCACTACAGAGTTCTTGCCCCTCTTGCACAAGGCAGTGGATTCCCTCACAAGCACAGGGGCTGTGAGAGGATTAGCCATTCATTCTGGGGTAGCAAAGACTTCAAAGGTGCACAGGGGTACCCCCAGAGTCTGGCAATGAACTGGGAAAAAGAAGTGTTGTTCTCTGGGAGTCATCTGCTGTACATATGGGTACAGCACACCATGTAGAACAGAACAAGAAAGTCTAAATGTTAAGGGATCAGAAGGACTAAATGCAGGTGAAGGCCAGGAGTTATGAAAGAGGATATAAAGCTAATTGTTTTTCTAGTTCTAACTGCATCATAGACATTTTGATTTGGTGGTGGATATGTGCATAAAAATATATTCAACAGAGAAAGTATAAAATCCAATGTGAAGCTCCATAACTCCATCTCCAATGGCTACTCTAATTGTATAGAAGTTCACCAAGTTGTTGAGTTTTGGGGGTCTCGTTAATTTGGGTGTGTAATATTATTTTTAATTTTCTACCTTTTAAATAATAAATTTAAAATGAAAAATAGCTGGACATGGTAGTTAATGCCTTTAATCCCAGCAATTGGGAGTCAGAGTCAAGTCCAGCCTGGTCTACACAGTGAGGCCCAGGGCAGCCAGAGCTATCCAGAGAGACTCTGTTTCTAAAATTAAATTAAATTAAATTAAAAATTAAAAGACTGAAATGACCCACAAAAGTAAATATTCTCCTCATCATTATTGTGTGTTTAGTCCAGAGATTTCAACCTTGTCAACATATGTAAAAACATATAGTTTTCTTTCTTATAAAAATGAAAGATAATATATTTAATTATAACATTTAAGAAAGATTTTATAATCTTACCACAATAGTTAATGTCCATCCATTCATAAGAATAAATCTATGTTTAGTTTAATTAACTGTATAGTTAAGTAAATTTCTTATTGGCTAATTTATTTATGTAGTTATGTAAATATTTCCTTTTTCCCTTCAATAAATTTCTGCTTAAAGAAATACTGGTTCAAAACAAAAGTATTTTCTTTGGAATATACATGCATGTGTGTGTATATACAAACATACATATATTATATATGTATACATGCATTTCTCTTTGTGTGTGTGTATGTGACAGAGAGAGAGAGAGAGAGAGAGAGAGAGAGAGAGAGAGAGAGAGAGGGGAGAGAGAACTGTGTGTATTCTAACTGTCCTTTGGTTAAATGGTAGCAATATGCATTTCCATGCATTCATATTTAGGTATGAATGGTAGTTATCAAAAACTATCTGCTAATCTTGTAGGTGGGAAATTGCACTAAATTCTTGCTGAGGTCTCTGAGTTTACAATATCTACAGGAGTAACATTAACAATAAATCTTTATTGGTAACTGATTCTTCATGTTTCAGCTGCTGCCTTGGCCTTCACTCGCCTTTCTGGTAGTTTCCTACTTTAACCCAAGTGATGATGCAAACCCTTCCCATCTGAAGGCTGTTCATCATACATGAAATGAATATCTTTCCTAAATGAGTGACTTACATCTCTATTCTATTTTTTGTAATAATTTTGAAAAGTTATATATTCAAGTCCATCAAGGTTTGCTTTGCAGCTTACCTCCTTGTCATGTCCCAGCAGAGTGTGCATTCACATTTATTTTCTCCTGTTACCTTGTTTTCTAACCTTCACATTCACATTACTGTACAGACAGAGACTACCGTTAAGTTAAACGGAACTTTTTCCGAACCACATGACATATTAAATAAATCATTGCCATTGTACTTCATTTGCCCTATAGTGTACCTTTACGTTAAATTTGGAGATGGGCCCTGTGAGGGGAATTTCCCAGTGGATCTTTTCCCCTCCACACGCTGAATGTTCAGTATCAATGGAATGCAATCTGGTTGATGTTTGAGCTGACGTCATCACATCTCTTTTGGTCAGCATGTGCACACACTGGACACGTTTTTTTTTGCCATCTCAGTTGGATTTCAAATGTCATATGCATCAGCAGAGGAACTTCTATCCCAGACTGAGCCTGGAGAAATGTCCATGGAACACTCAGCGCTGGAGGCACACAGTTTATCACAATCCTTGGCATTTGCCAGATGCCTGCTCAGGGGACTTTGTGTGGTGCACACTAACTAGAGCCCTGAAAGATGAGCCATCAATCCTACAGCATCACACGAGAGGAGTAGAGACCCAAAACATGAAGAGAAGCAGGTCAAGTGGTCCACCTTCCACTGAATGGGCCACACTGAGGCTGATTCATAAGATTAGTGAAAGAGATAAATTCCCTTGAATGTCAAGGACCGAGATGACACTGTACCCACTGAAGGACCCAGTGAATAACAAGTCCCAGTGTCAGAGATCACAAAGGTGAAAAAGGACAATCTGCCCTGAACACAGCCCAGAGGTGTGTGGGGGGGGTGGCTGTCAATTGCCATCGGTGGGACAGACAACCAGCACCAGCATGAAAGAAATTGGGCATGGAGTGGTTTTACCTGTAACCCCAGTCCTGGGGTAGTGAGTTGACAGATCTCACAAGTTCCCTGGCCAGCCAGTATAGCTAAACCAGTGAGCTCCAGCTACAGGGAGATACTCTGACAAAAAAAAAAAAAAAAAAAAAAAAAAGAAAGAAAAAACCAAGGTGGACACTAACAGAGGAAGGTACTTGATGCTGACCTCTGACCTCAATATGCCTGTACATACATGTGTGCCTCCACAAACACATGCACATGCCCACCAATAAGTGAGTAAATTTATTTGTAAAGAGATAGAAGAAAGATTTAGAGATAATGAAAAATAGATATATGCATTCAAGAAGGGAGAAAACCTTGAAAATAGAATGTTATAAAAATCACAGGCTAAGTATTTTAAATGTGAAGTCACTCCATCAAGTCTTGCCATGGGGACAGAGAAACGCATATCTGGATAGTGCTACATACCCACAGTTGGTCATCCATGCCTGGAGGGTTCTTTTTGATGAAAGCACCGTAGTATGTTGCAATGTTCCTGTGATGAGAATATTTCTTCAACATGTTAATTTCTTGTTTGATTTCTTCCTCTTCATCCTGTATTACAATAAATAGTGGGCATGAAAATCCAGTTACTGGGAGAATTCTATTCTTCAATACTATCGGCAGCAAAGACTGATGTATTATCAGTCTTTCCTTTGGTTGTTTAAAGAGGATCATTATGCTGTTTGGTTAAAATGAAAGTGTTCACAGCATAACACACTGGCAGTCAAGGGGGCTAACACTATTGCTCACTTTGTCTATATAACACTGTATCACTAACAGACAGAGCATGTCATCGGCTGGAGGACATGTCCATCGCGTCACCTGGAGGCCATCAGATAAACCTGCAGCCGGCTTCAGGGAAGCATTTTCCTCTGATGTTCACCTGATCACACCCAGGGAAGGCCAGGAAAAGAAAGGGAAAACACATGGGCTCAGATTTACATTTTGTTAGGCTCAGTTCTTTGAGTCAGTTCTTCTATTGAAGTGCCTTGACTGAAGCCAATGAAAGTCAGACGGAGAGGGGGCAAGGCGAGTTCCGAGATCTGAGGGAGTTCACAAAGCAGGAGTCCTCATCACCTTCGGGGAGCTCAACATGAAAGAAGGGGGGAAACGCAGTGCGGACATAAAAAGACTCCACAGAGTCAGTTTCCTGACATACAAGACTCATTCAGTTTCCACTTAGAGTCTACTGACTTGATCCTGGAGGGCATGAGTGTGCGCTCTACAATCTGACCTTATGTGTGTGTGTGCACTCCACAATCTGACCTTGTGTGTGTGTGTGTGCACTCCACGATCTGACCTTATGTGTGTGTGTGTGCACTCCACGATCTGACCTTATGTGTGTGTGCACTCCACAATCTGACCTTGTGTGTGTGTGTGTGTGCACTCCACAATCTGACCTTATGTGTGTGTGTGCACTCCACAATCTGACCTTGTGTGTGTGTGTGTGCACTCCACGATCTGACCTTATGTGTGTGTGTGTGCACTCCACAATCTGACCTTATGTGTGTGTGCACTCCACAATCTGACCTTGTGTGTGTGTGTGTGTGTGCACTCCACAATCTGACCTTATGTGTGTGTGCACTCTACGATCTGACCTTATGTGTGTGTGTGTGCACTCCACGATCTGACCTTATGTGTGTGTGTGCACTTCACAATCTGACCTTGTGTGTGTGTGTGTGCACTCCACAATCTGACCTTATGTGTGTATGTGCACTCCACGATCTGACCTTATGTGTGTGTGTGCACTCTACGATCTGACCTTATGTGTGTGTGTGCACTCTACGATCTGACCTTATGTGTGTGTGTGCACTCCACAATCTGACCTTATGTGTGTGTGTGTGCACTCCACGATCTGACCTTATGTGTGTGTGTGCACTCCACAATCTGACCTTATGTGTGTGTGCACTCCACGATCTGACCTTGTGTGTGTGTGTGTGTGTGTGTGCACTCCACGATCTGACCTTATGTGTGTGTGTGCACTCCACAATCTGACCTTATGTGTGTGTGTGTGCACTCCACGATCTGACCTTATGTGTGTGTTCACTCCACAATCTGACCTTGTGTGTGTGTGTGTGTGCACTCCACGATCTGACCTTATGTGTGTGTGTGTGCACTCCACAATCTGACCTTGTGTGTGTGTGTGCACCCTACAATCTGACCTTGTGTGTGTGTGTGCACTCCACAATCTGACCTTATGTGTGTGTGTGTGTACTCCACAATCTGACCTTATGTGTGTGTGTGTGCACTCCACAATCTGACCTTATGTGTGTGTGTGCACTCCACAATCTGACCTTATGTGTGTGTGTGCACTCCACAATCTGACCTTATGTGTGTGTGTGCACTTTACAATCTGACCTTATGTGTGTGTGTGTGTGTGCACTCCACAATCTGACCTTATGTGTGTGTGCACTCCACAATCTGACCTTGTGTGTGTGTGTGTGCACTCCACAATCTGACCTTATGTGTGTGTGCACTCTACGATCTGACCTTATGTGTGTGTGTGTGTGTGCACTCCACGATCTGACCTTATGTGTGTGTGTGTGCACTCCACAATCTGACCTTATGTGTATGTGTGCACGCCACAATCTGACCTTGTGTGTGTGTGTGCACTCCACAATCTGACCTTATGTGTGTGCACTCCACAATCTGACCTTGTGTGTGTGTGCACTCCACAATCTGACCTTATGTGTGTGCACTCCACAATCTGACCTTATGTGTGTGTGTGCAATCTGACCTTATGTGTGTGTGTGCACCCTACAATCTGACCTTGTGTGTGTGTGTGTGTGTGTGTGTGCACTCCACGATCTGACCTTATGTGTGTGTGTGTGCACTCCACAATCTGACCTGTGTGTGTGTGTGCACTCCACAATCTGACCTTATGTGTGTGTGTGTACTCCACGATCTGACCTTATGTGTGTGTGTGTGCACTCCACAATCTGACCTTGTGTGTGTGTGCACTCCACAATCTGACCTTATGTGTGTGTGTGCACTCCACAATCTGACCTTGTGTGTGTGTGTGCACTCCACAATCTGACCTTGTGTGTGTGTGTGCACTCCACAATCTGACCTTGTGTGTGTGTGTGTGTGTGTGTGCACTCCACGATCTGATCTTGTGTGTGTGTGTGCACTCCACAATCTGACCTTGTGTGTGTGTGTGCACTCCAGTCGGACTTCAAAACAGTGTTTCCTTCCTGAACTTGGTGGGAAGTCCTGCACCAGGGAGCCTGAGACAGTGGGGTAAGCAAGGACTACCGCTGAGTGCAAGATGTCATGTTATCATGATCAAGGAACCACGCCATATGTCTCTGCACCTTTATCTGTCCGTCCGTTAGCCTACATGTGTGCAAATGCAGGGTCCTTCCAGAACCTCACACGGGTGCTGTCTTCTTCCCTTCTCATAACTTTTACATGTTAATACTGATGAGGTTTTATTTCCACTCCCCAAGGAGGGCTGTCTTCCTTGATTCTCCAAGGCAATGTCAGGGCCCCACCTCTAAGTTCTGCAACACCCCGTGATTCTTCACACTGAATGAGGGGTGTGTGTGTGTGTGTGTGTGTGTGTGTGTGTGTGTGTGTGTGTGTGTGACACTGTGCTGTACTTGTACTGACACGTGGGTGTCTATTCCACAGACTTTACTCTCTTCCACTTTAGACATCAACTCTAATGTTGCTTCCCAGAAGAGCCTCCTGATCTGCCTGTCTTGGTACTAGCCACCTAGATTATATGACCCTTTGTGACACCTAATCAGTTTGTCAACACCTACCCATCCGTCATCACCACAGACATCTTGCCAGTATTTGTTTGGCATTTCATCCCCTGTACCAAGGAAAATCCTGTTTATGTGTGAATACAAGAACAGATGCTTGCAGGTGGACTAACGCTAAGAGCCGCAGTAGGGTTATCCCAAGGAACAGATGATACTAGAAGGAGGAGAGTGATGAAATGATGTCATTGCCCAACCATACCAAAACCAAACCAAAACCAAAACCAAAACAAGTTTACTGGGAGAAAAAAATTCAGAAAATTGTAAGCTTAGAACAAAAGCATGTTACTCATCATGTAGCTTAACTAAATACAAAACTAGATAATTTCAAAACAGATCACAGAATTGGGGTGCTGAGCTAAGGAGGTGCATGGCTCTAACAGTGAGAAAGGGGACTTAGGGACTGAGCTGGGCTGGTTGCTAAGGCAGGAGGTAGATGGTACACTGCGGATCCAGGCATTCCTCCCTGGAGCTACTGCCGAGTCCACACTTCAGTGCAGGCCTGCAGAGAGAATGACCTTGACAGACCCTCAAGGTCTTGGGGGTCCTGGCAGCTGCCTCACTGTCTGTGGTAGACATCAGCTCTTTTAATTCTCTATGTAGGATGTGAGCCTCATTTTACTTGGGGAGCCTCATTATAAAGAGGAAGAACCATACTGAGGGTACCAGTGGCTACCTCCAATAAAAAAGGAATTATGCAGGTGATGAAAGATGTAGATTACTTTCCAACTGCACCTAACAGCCTCACTGTAGGCAGCCTTGGAAGTCAGGCAAGTTCTACAAGTATTTGCTGCCTGCCTCCTGGGTCCTCAACAAGATCATGGGTGATGGATATGCCTGAAGAGGGCTTACTGTGCCATTAAGAAATGTTAAGTCACAGTGTCATTCAGTACACAATTAGGTCTCAGAAGGGATGGACTGATTACTTGAGCATACCCTCACTAGCAATGTAAAAACCATTTGGCCCCTTAGAATCAGAAGGATCTACTCAGTGGTTAGTAATTGTGGTAAAGTGAAAAGAAATGAACATGGCATTTGGCCACCCCTCCCTCCAATCAAGAGTTCATTACTCCTCTCCTTGAAGCTGAGCCTGGCAGATAACTGGTATAGCCAATGGGGTATTGGGAAATGTGCTTTGGCAGAACCCTGAGGCTAGCCATCTCCAACAGCTTGCAGAGGATTATGGTTCTAAAATTTTAGCAGCGCAAACCAACTTTATGTAATGTCCACTGTGTGCCAGGAGCTGTATGTGCATATTTTAATATTCAGAGCACATCTGTGCCATATTCATCTTTTTTATTATTGGTGACAGTAGAAACAGTGGCAGTGGCGTGCATGTGCGTGTTGATTCATGGGTATGAGCATGTCTGCGTCACTATGCACATGTGGCGGTTAGAGGACAACTTTGTGGAGTGGTCCTCTCCTCCTTCCCTTGTATGGATTCCAGGGACTAAAGTTTAAGCTTTTGCTCTCCGAGATAGTGCACTGGCCCTAATGTAGTATTCTTAATGACCCCCAGTGGCTGAATGAAGGAGCTGTTTCTAAGGATCTGACTTTACAAATGAGGTAAAGAAGACCCAGAGAGGTTAAGTAACTCCCCTGGCATACTCATTGCAAATATCAGGGCTCTGATTCGCTCCTAGATTTGTCAGGATTCCAAAGCCAGTGACCTGAATTTTCTACAGAAACCTCTTAGACATGTGCAATTACCCACAGTGACTAAACCAAAGCACTCAGTAGAAAAAGCCTAGAAACATACTGCACTTGGGTAAAGAGGACCTGACT